CATTGTTTCCAAAAAATTTAAAATGGCTTTTACGACGTTTTTCCGTTGGGCGGCAGTAATGGAATGTTCAGTTGTGCGCACGCCTAGAATATCATAATTTTGAATATTAAAAGGGGGCTCCGGGCCCCCCTAGCTTTCAACTCGACCACTGTTTTCTCCTGTAATTACACCTCCTGGACACTTTTTTCCGGGACGGAAAACCGGCAAGGGAGACGGGTTAAGAGCGAATCAGGCGGAAGATACGGAGCCGAAATATATGCTAACAAGTTGTTGCTGCGCTCCTCCGTAATTGCTGTCTACTGACTTGCTACGTGTGTCGAATACTCAGCGGAGGCAGTTACGTCGGCCCAGAGTGTTGTCGTTTCATTACGCTGCACAATATCGCCGCCGGGGCGGGGCGGGCTGTCGCAGAGGGGGAGGGGGGTTGATCCCTGTCACATTATTGCACTGATAAAACACTGCATTGGAGGGCCCGCGAGTGCCACTTTTATGCAGTTTTCACTCCGGAATGAAGAATAAAGGATAAACACCCACTTTGTAACCCGTAAATCATCGTTTAACGTCGATTCTCTGATTTTCTATTCCCGCATTTTCGACCTCGGTCCCCTCTCCCTCCTTCCCTCGAGCCTCCCTGCGGGATAAACCCCTCGTAACGCGCAATGCACGGCGAATCGTGCTGCTGGGAGCATGGAAAAGTAGTGCAGCTAACAAGTAGAGAGACAATTTGGACTTATTTCTGCCAAACGGAAGTATGTGCATTATGACTTTGACCTCCGGAGTTTTTTCTCCCTAAGAATATCGAATGACATTGCTGTGATTCGTACCCCGTTGCCTGAAGTCAATGATTCGCCTTCAAATGGCCGGGTATGCAAAATGACTGCCGTGACGCTCGAATAGTGGTATCAGAATTTTGGATTAAGTTTACGGATGTATTTGAAGGCGCTCTTTTGTATTCATTGTGAGTGGTATTGTACAATGATGTTGACCAAATAGTTCATAATTTTATGTTTTAAATCGAGCCGCATATTCGAAAAATGCCGAGGAATATTATTTTGAAAAAATAATAAGATTGTTTTTGGTCTCTACGTCTCATTTTAAAGAAGAGATAGGCGGCTGGATTAGATTGTGTATTTTAAGTCCCTTAGTTTGGTTATCGTATTCTGTAGCGAAACCGAAAAATTCGCCATTTACAAGATCGCAACTTACTCAAAAGTGGTTGTGAATTTAAAAAGTTTCGCACGGCTAAAATGAGCTTTCCTTGATTAACTGTGAATAATCATAATTGAAGAAAAGGTATTTTGTCCACCGCTCCATTAGGAAAGCGTAAAACATGGATGGATGGAGCATTAATGACCAACTAAATCTTATCTGATAAGGAATTTTAAGGTTGAAACCCTTTTTCCAGTCTTAAATGATCCAAATCCGCCAACAAGTTTAAAACACTAATTGCAAAAGTCCGTATCTCCTGATGAAGTGTCAATTCTTAGTGCCAAAATCGCGAATCTCGGCATTTCTGCCGTATTTTCAAACAGTTGGAAAAATTATTGAAACTGCTGATGGAGTTTGAAAAAACATCTTATTCTTGCTATCCTCAAGAATTATCACCCTTCTACCGACAATAAAGAGGAATGCAGAAAGTTGTTTTACTCTCCTGGAAAATCGTTTTTTCCGAGATTCGCACTTCTGCACTTTCACCATCGATAATGTGCTTTAGTATCATTTAATTAAACATTTGCACAGGCAGTGATTGCGATTGTTCCGTCAGTAATTTTTTTTTCTCATTAATTTTTTCACATCCATTCTCAGGTATATATGTTGCAGGCAATTAGCAATCGCCGGCAAATTGCAATCTATTCGTGTTGAAGCAACAAATTAAATCGTTTTAAAGTGAAAAAAAACGAGATTGGAAGTAGGGATTACTATGCTTTGAATTCAAACATACGTTATTAGCCCCTCCTTCTTGGATACTTGGTGCCAGCTAGCACACTCGCAAGTTCGTGAAATGTCATCAATAATCTGTGTTAGGTTCGGTTAAGCAACTAAACTAACTCTTTGGCAAAGTGGAGAGTATCGCTGGATTTGAAGGCGTAAAGAAATCTTTACTATATCGATGTTATCGTAATTACAATTTGACGAATTGCAAGTACGGAGCTTGCAAATTGCCGGCAATTGCTGACTTCCTGCGACTGATACACTGATAAAGATTTCAGAGATATTTATTTCCATCTTTTAGTTTACATGTACTTTTCTCTCTTCTGATCAGCATGTGTGTTTCTTTTTTGTTTGTGGTGCAACCCTCGGAATTCTCGGATTCAAAAATCGATGATCTTCCTGGACAACACAATCCGTCAATTAAAAAATTAGGATCGTTCAATTAAACGGGACACTTGATTCACTTAACTGAATCTTTAAATTAACTGGAAACTCAAATTTACCACAAATCCTACTCAACCGAGAACCTGATCTAACCCTGCTAACCAAAACTTTACTCAACCGGTGATCTTACCCACCGGAAACTCAAATCAATCGTCCAATCGTCCGGCCGAATTTCACTTAACCGGAAATCGACAACCGTAAACTCTGCTTGACCGGAAACGTGCTCCAATCGAAAACTTGACCCAACTGGAAATTCGATCCAACCTGAAATTTGACCCTTCCCAAAATTCAAATTCACTGGAACCGTAATCCATCCGTATATGACGTGACCGGAAATTAACCCAACTGGAAACTGTTTCCAGCCGGTAACGTGTCCCTGTCGAAAATTTGACTCGACTGAAAATTTGATTCGATCGGAAATCTGACCGACCGGAAACCACACTCAACGGGATTCGTTATCCACCCGAAATTTCACTTGACCGGAAATCGAAAATCTTGATTTCTACTCAACCGGAAATGTGCCCCAATCGAAAACTTGACTCAACTGGAAATCGACCCGACCGGAAATGTGTTCCAACCCAAAATTTGATTGTTCTCGGATGGAAAATAACCAATTTCAATATCAATATATCATTGATTTTCCTAAAAAATCGCAAAAATTCGATGTAAGCGATTGATACATCGACTCGTTAACGATAAAAATCGATTCTACAAGAAAAAATACGTAGGTGTTGGTGTACTACAGTCATATTAGGCGCATTTCGTCATCCATGAATCAATAATGAAGAATTTAAATCTCAAAAAATCGTCGATTTTCCGTAAAGAATCTTATAAAATCGATATAACCGATCGACATATCGACTCGTCAACATTAAAACTCGATTTTGCGTGTAGAAATACGTAGGAACTGGTGTGTATAACATGTGTAAACAACGATAACAACCCCGTAGACACATCAATTCAACAAGAAAATAGCGAAAAATAAGGCCGGAGTTTGACCCCTTTGCCCACCCGTAACTCGCAAACAGCTCCTGTAATCATCTTGAAATTTTTTCCTGAGTTTTCTGTTATTATAAGCTTCCGCTTAAACTTTGGTTCAATGGTCGAATCGAATACCGAAAAGGGGGCGAAATTTTGGGAGGCTCTTTTCATCAGAGACACGGCAAGCTTCCTAGGTCTACAAATTTTGACTATCTACCCAGGCATTAGGCATTTGACAAAGTTCCTGATTTGACAAGTATTTGGACTGCTTTTAGCAGAAAGGAACCAAGCCACATCAGCTATTGCCAAATTTAACTGGTCACTTTAATTTTTTGATAGAGAACATTTATGCGGATTTCTCTTAAAAGTTTAAGGAATTTGATTCGTATACTCTGCAGAACATTCACTGAAATTTGCACAAATATCCGCACAACCGTTTTTACGTAAAAAATTAAATTGTATGTGTATGTGTGTATGTATGAGCCGCTTTTACGGCGCGCTAGGGCGCTCTGCGACGCCTATTCTCCACAGGAATCTGTCATGGTAGAGATCCTCCGGAAGGTGGCATCTCTCCATCTCTTCATGGATGCCCTCTACCCACCGTTTGGCTGGACGCCCTCTCCGTCGCCTACCTGGGGGGACCCACTCCAACACCTTCTTCGGCAACCTGGTATCAGCCATTCTCTGCACATGCCCATACCATACCAATTGCTTGGTCATGATATCGTGCACAATCGTCCCCTCAACGCCCATTATCTCTCGGGCACGTTCATTCCTGACACGTTCTCTCCTCGAGATTCCAGCCGATCTTCGCCAGAAATCCATCTCGGTCGCCTTGAGCATTTCTTGGGTCCGCTTCTTCAACTGCCACACTTCACTGCCATAGGTGATAATAGGCTTGACAACCGACTTATAAATCCTCTTCTTGTTGTCTTTGGAAATCCTTTGGTCCCAAAGGATCCCATTAAGCATGGCGATGGCTTTCCTTCCTAGAAGATTACGGTCCCGAATGGCCTGATCCAGCTTCCCATCCGAAGTCAGGTTCACCCCCAGGTACTTGTATTGTTCGCAACTTTCTATATGTTGACCATCCTCCAGGACTATGCTTTGCTGAGCACCTCCGACTGACATCTTTTTTGTCTTACGGACACTAACCTCGAGGCCCCATTTGCGGTACTCCTCCACCAACTTTCGGGTCATATACTCCGCGTCATCGTGATCTTGACTTATGACAACCTGGTCGTCAGCAAAGCATAGCGTGAACAGTGTTTCTTGGTCATTTAGAGGGACGCCCATGCCGGCACACTTTCTTTTCCATTCCTTCAGAACGTGCTCTAGATATATCTTAAACAGCGTCGGTGACAGACAACATCCCTGCTTAAGCCCCTTGGTGACAAAAAAACCGTCTGAAAGCCTTCCTTGGCACTTAATTCTAGCAAAAAATTAAATTGCCCAATTAAATTTGGCAATATCTGATGTGGCTTGGTTCCTTTCTGCTTAAGGTGGTCTATTTATTACAGTATGTACTTTAAAATTGTCTTGTTACATCAGACCTGAAAATCTTCTGCTAGGAAAAGCTGCCAAGTGTCCTCTCATGGTTCAACTTAGATTGACTCTAACCATTGCTCATTCGTCTGTTTCAGCGCTACCTAGAGAGCGCCCGCAAATAGCTGGTGATCGGGATCGGCACTACAAAATGGGCGATGTGATCAGTTTGAACTGTACCTCTGGAAGATCCTCACCCGCTCAGGCCCTCCAATGGTTCCTCAACGATAAAGAGGTCAGAAATATTTACTGAGCTCAACTTAATCTTCGAAACGTCGCACAGTGCGGAAGCCCATGGACAAAAATCGAAAATTGACTTTCAAATTTTCCAATTATTGTTATATGATATTCGTGATCAGGACACTAATTCTGACATGAACGGTTACTTTTTTTGTATTTTCTTCCAAAATCCGTTTAAATATGGATTTGAACTAAACGATAATTCGATCGCAAAGGAACAAAAATCGAAAATCAACTTTCAAATTTTCCGCAATTATTGTTATGATATTCGTGATCAGGACAATAATTCTAACACGGGAATAATTCTGTAACGGGATCTTTATGTCAAGAAAATTGAGACTTTGAGTTTACAGCGGGCTGATTGTTGTAATTGATAGACAAAGCTATAGACAAAGAAGACATTGGGAGTATTAAGCGATGCCATTGGTTGAAATGGTTGATTCCAATAGACTAAGAGAGAAAATGATGGACTAACTAGAGTGTCTCTCGTGGGTTGCCGTAAGCAAGTCTATTACCTACCTGTTTTGACCATTGCAACCACCCGCTTCCAACAATAGAATCCCTCCGTATCCCCTATGTATTTTTTGTCTAAAGCTTTATTTATCGATTTCAACAATTAGCCCGCAGACCAAAACCATGTTTTACCACTGATCGAATCGTTGAGCTTTTCGCGGGTGACATAAGAGTTGAGTGCAATTTGCTAGTTTTTATTTTGTAATTGGACGCATTTAAATCAAAAGGAACTACAGTCATTGTGATATGAGCCCTGCCATGTATGTATATACTTGTGGATTGCACGGCTCATGGTGAAATGGATATAGTTCTTTTTTTATTTAAATACGTCCAAGTTGTCCGCTTGTTAGATGTATTCACAATAGTAAATTAGATGAAGCAAAATTTCCTCCACGGATAAAATTTCAGCCTGAAAAAAGAGCTTAATTGGACTGCATTTTGCAATTTGGACCTATAAATTCTGGCTCATCTAAAAAAACACTTATGTGCATAGAGAAACTAATGGCACATACGTTGTTTTTAAACCGGGCCGGAATTGATAGGTCCAAATTGCAAAATGCAGTCCAATTGAGGGGCTTGGAGAATGGAGAACAAGGCACATTAGTGCAGTTTTTGAAAACATTGAGATATTAATGATTTTAAGTTAAGCTAGTCGTGCTTCTGTGAAAAATTCGCTCCCGAATTCCAATTTTTAAGCATCAAAAAGTCACGTGAAACTTTTTCCACCCTAAGGATCCATGTAATTTCGAAACTTCAAACACGTATTTCTCAAAGTAGCAAAAACTGCATTCACGTCCATAGTCTTCTAATCCCCTCCATTCTCCTTTCTAGCAAGGCCTGTGTATTGAACTAAGGATATTCATAAAGTATATTTTGGGTTCAATCCGAAATTTATGTCGAATAGCAGGTTTGACTTGGATTCTTGGTTTTGCGATCCACGTCCTTGACGATGCGTTTCGTGGGAATTTGAATATGCATGAATTCCAAATTCAAAAAGAGAAAACACTGAGCGTAAAGTAAATTGAGTACTAACTTCTGATTATATTCGAAACTCGAGAAAGTCGCAGCTCAGAAATATTATGAGGTTCGAAAATGAAAGAGGAGGAAGGCTTTCTTGAGATGCCTAAGAATGAGCTGAATAGAGAGAGCGTAAGATGACCGACCCAACTTAGGATGTTGGCAAAACTCATTTCGTCCACTGTCAAGATGTATATTCGAGGACTTTCCTCCGAAACACACATTTCGGTATCTCTCGGGACGGGGCAAAAGCCGGTCGCGTTTAAAGAGGAAAGTTTATTAAAGTTGCAAGCAAACCACTACTCCATGTGATATCGAGTTAATTAAGTTTTGGAACAGTTCTGAAAATGTAATTAAAATAATTGACAAGTTGTTGGCCGGCAACGACCGAGAGGAGAGAAAAGCCAATAACTAAGAGGATTTTTGCGAGGAAAATGTCCGAAAAATATAGAAATACCCCTTTAGCTTTTATGCAGAGGGTTTAAGATCTCTCAACATTCCCTCTATCCATGCTTTGAGACCTAAATCAAAGTTTTGGATCTTTTATAGAAATTGGATCAGAATTCAAAGATAAAATGCTACTCCAATTTCCGGACTTTGTGGAAGTCCAGAATGACCAAACTTGTAAGTATATTCCTCTCGTACATTCTAATTTTATAGATAATTATTCTAAAGGAGATATAATTCACTTTCATTTGACAATGTAGGAATGAGGTTTCGTAAGCATTGATAGAGGAAATCTGATTGTACTATAGTTCATCTTGCAAAACTAGCTGCTATCAACACATAAATATTTTATATCATATTTTGATGACACTATTCAGACGTTAAATAGCTTGCCCCTGCCTAACCTGGAAAATGAAGGCGAATCGAATTACTTCAAAAATCTGTCACCTACCGGCCAAAGTATCACAAGCGCCATGCGACGTTTCAAAATTTCCGCCGCAATTTTATTTTTTTTACAGAGAAATTGTTCAACGAAGCTGTCCGAAAATTTCACTGAATTTTCTTTATAGTAAATGAATATACATTTTATAAAAAATAATATTCAGTAAAATTTTCAAACAGATTCAACCAACAATTTCTACGTAAAAAAATAAAATGACGGCGGCAACTTCGACGAGCTTTTTGGCTTTTTTCAACAGAAAATGTTACGGACGACAGTTATTTCCTCTCGAATTCACCTCGAAATGAATATCCTGTTTTCACAGGTGCGGCCCGTCTGGTTCGAGACTGCAAACCACACGCACGGGTTGATGACGTCGACGAGCTCCTTAAACGTGAAGGCACAAGAGAGTCACTTCATCAACGGCCGAATGTTGGTCACCTGCAAAGCCGCCATGCCCAGGCGGCTCGCCGATCTAGGAGCCTCCGATTCGGCGCACCAACAGCATCGAAAAGCACCCCTGGAGACTTCCATTTATCGTGAGTCTTCTCAAACTATTTGGTTTTTCAATCCTACTGCCGCACAGTGAATCGAGTAAATAGAAGAGGTTGGGCAACATAAGTGGAGAATGGACCACTAGACAAGGTACGAATTTAAGCAATCTGATACATGTTTCTTACCCAGAATTTCACGTGGAAAACGATTCACACAACGAAAATTACGGAAACCAACTCCTAACGAAGATATTAACGTTTTTATTTCACATTGGTTACGAGGAATTTGAACTGCCCGCTCACAAGAAACTCAAAACTCTACGTGAGTCAAATCGCCCACTACAACGGTTTCAGCAAGCTTCTCAATCGAGCAATGTTCATTTCCCATCATGTGTTGTTCAAACTATTAGCAATTTTCTATAACTGAGCCAAAGCGTCAAGATTAAGGTTGCCAGATTTTTATATCGCAGAGACTGTCATGATACCGTTTAGCGCGCGATGTGAATCACGTAGAGCATTGTGTTTTCATGAGCGGGTGGTTTGAATTCACGCAATAAGAATCATTAAATATTTTCTTAAGGAGTTAATTTCGGTAATTTTCGTTGTGTGCATCGTGTTTTACGTAAAATTTTGGTTAAGAAACATGTATCAGAATGCTGAAATTCGTACCTTATCTAGTGGTCCATTTGCATGCACATTTTTATTGCTTCATCTGACAGTGCTGAAAGAGCTGATTTCTCTGTATTTTTTAGAATTTTTTTCTGATATGGGAAATAGTATAAAAATATATTTAAAAGTGAGAAAATTCACCGCCCAGTGACGTCATCTGGCGGCGTCTCCCATTTAAACACACGTATTTTAGTAGATTAGATAATTTTGTCATATATTTTCCAATAATTGTTCAATTCATGAACCAAAGGTATCCTCGAGTTCAGTTCACTCAGTAGTTTCCACTTGAACACGAAATTCATCAAATTTCAGACGCCTGCAAATTCTCTATTCACAAAACTTTGAGGTTCTGAAAGTGGTTTTATTGGTTTCATCGTAAATTTGTCTCTTACAAGCATCCCTTGAACTTTAAAATGTGACGAAATAAACATCGATATTTGCAGTTTTAGTCAACAATTTCATGTCCGACCTCTCCAATTGACTCGATCCACTATGTACTGGTCTTCTGTGGTGTAGTGGTTGCAGCATTTGCTGAGTGAACAGGAGATCCCGGGTTCGATTACCATCCAAGCGACCCAAGTTTGATGGTCTCAAATAACCGTTGGCTGGGGCTGGGCGCCGATTAGGAACCAAGAAAAATGAGGCTTTAATTGTAAGCGCAGGATTATCCCCCTGGAGATACTTGAACGAATTGAAAAAAAATCCTCCCAGAATGATCCCTGCTATCGTCGATCGTTGGAAAAATATTTTTTAAAAAATGATAATGTTAAATAAATGAAAATAATCTGTTGAAATTTTCATAAAATAAAAGTCATTTCTAGATATTTTCATGAGAAAGGTATTTATGTATAAATGTAAATATTCGGAATAATATTTACGAGAGGTAAAATTTACGTCGAAAAGTCCGTAGAATCTGTAGTAGATCTACTTTGATTTTTTTAACACTTGAAATGTTGAAAAAGAGTGTTTTGAAAGCCTTATGAAAATCTACGGGGTTTTCAGAAAGTTACATACATTTTACGTAATATAGACCTAAAATAGACGTACTAAGGATAAGTACCTTTTCACGTAAATCATAACATTTGTTGGAGAGTATATAAATAGTACTCTTCAATAGTGAATGCCACCATAGGGAAGTGTTTTTCAAATTAATTTTTCCAGAAACTTTAAAAAGTTACAAGGTTTTTTTTTTTCTTTTTTTTTTAATCGGAAATTCTCGAACGCTGTCTCCCTTGTCGTCATGCGTTAAATTAATGATTGTTACATTATTGTTTGCTAAACTGAAAAGTTGCCTACTGTTTTGAAAATACACGTAGGTCATGGGTTTGAATCTCAATGGTGGCGATATAGCTCCATAGAGTTGGCTTCATAATTTTATTGAACCTCTGTAAACCTCCTCCACCCCCTTCACCCTTACAAAAAGGAATGAGAGCCAATTAAACTCTCGGGGGAAAAATGAAATTTCGATTCAATTAAATATGACTATCAAGTATCATTTGTAGTGCCTGGTTTGTAGGAGATCTGGATTCTAAAATAATTATACTTAATTTTCTTCCTCCTTTTGCTTTTCATGTTTAAACACATTCTATAAAAACTCGGCAAGAGAAATGGGAGAGAATTAATCGTTGATAATACTTTACCTCAGCTTTTAATAACGTAAATTCAGTTTCTGAAGTTTAATGTTTTTGAGAATTTTTGTAATACCGCAGAGTGTTACATGCGGTTTGGTATATTTTTGGGAGGCAAACTCGTGCATTAAGTAAATAAAAAGTAGAAGCATCTCATGCCAATTGTTAAAGCAATCCAAACCGCGCCTCAAACAAAATTACCCAGTGTTGGCCGAAATAAAAAGTTATTCTAGCGCCCTCTCTGACAACGGGGGGCAACAAGTCAAAGTTAAAAGTAAATTAACAAGGGGAGCTAAGCAGTGAGTAGGAACGCGCTATGAATGAAAAATAAACAACCAAACTTTTAGACTTTCTCAACTTCAAAACACGTCCGTTTAAATTCTTCATTTCACTTATTTGCTCTTCCGAAACTATTCTCGGCGCAACGTTTTCTTAATTATTTTTATTGCAAACTTTCAGACGTCAACCAGTTGAACACGTTTATAATATTTAGGCCAAGCGCGGGGACTTGATTCTAATGAATGCGAGATTTAGAAACAAGAAAATCGAGGGGAGCCGGTCTCAGTGGGTTTGTGTCTTACCGTGAGAAATTTTAAATTTTCTCTGTTGAGTATGATCGCACTCCTAAACTCGGAGTTTCATGTTGTGAGCAACATCCTAAAGTTTTTGAGATGAGGATAAAGCGCCTGTGTAAAAGCAGTCAGTCTGACGTTACAACGGGTCACTTGACAGGGTACAAGTAAATATTTAAGCCTTTCATTTCATATGCGAGAAAAATAATTTTCATCGCAAAAATCCAAATTTTCCGCAAATGGACGTATAACTCATCATGACAGAAAATCGTCACGAGATTTTCCGGGAATACTACCGTAGATTTTATTTTAATATAAGCAAGCGTAAATTTTCTAGCAGTGACCGGACAAAGAACAAAGAAATCCTCAGCTGTTTAATTTCTACTCAGAAAACTTGCGGCCGAGTACGTAAGTATGTACACCGAAAATGAATAAATCATCAACAAATTATGAATATTCCAGTAAAAGTACGCTTTTTGTTTTTTAATGACCCATGGAAATGGCATTTGGGAAGGGGTGGATTTTCGAGTCAAAGGAGGTTCTGACCCTTTGGCTCTGGGCCCCAGCTACAATCACCAAGCCTCATCAAGTTGTCTACGTTTAGAAGAGCTCAAAATCAAAAGGAATAGTTCAAAATTGAGAGGCCGTCCCGATCATAAAAAATACCCGTCACAAGAAATGGACCAATGGCGAGGCGTGAATGATCGATTATCGACACTTCTCCATTTGAAGGTATCTTAAAGAATCGATTATTGAGATGTTCGTTGTGAACACCCTGTTTATCGATCCTTTTCCGTAGATTCAAATGGCAGATCAATCGATAATCGCAAAGCACGCCACACCACTAAAATGGACCACTGCACGGAACGAAGTTAAGCATTCTGATACATGTTTCTTAACCAAAATTTAACGTAGGACACGATTCAAGCAAGACAAATTACTGAAATTAACTCCTAACCAAGATATTTGATGTTTCTTGACGCGTGAATTTGAACCTTCCACTCATGAAAACTCAGTGGTCTACATATACGTGAGTCAAATCGCTCACTAAACGTTATCGCGGCAATCTCTGCAATACAAAAATACTGCAATCTCAACTTGACTCTTTGGCTCAGCTATAGCAAAATGTTTACACTTTGAACAGTAAGGGTGGGAAATGAACAATGTTTGATTGAGAAGCTTGCCTAAAACGTTGTTGTGCGCAATTTGACTCACGTAGAGTATTGTGTTCCTTGTAACTGGGTAATTCAAATTTCCCGTGACCAAAGTAAAATTAAAACTTCAATATCTTAGTTAGGGGTTGATTCAGTAATTTTTGATGCAAGAATCGATACACGGACTTTATGTCCACTTTTTTTACGTTCACAGACTTTTCGTCCACAATTTTTACGTCCACAGTTCTAAAGCCTACCCTATATTGTTAAGCCTATTACTTAGACGTCCGCTAAGTTAAAACCACAAATGTAAAGTCCACTAAAATCAAATTCAAGCGTCATATTTTAGTCCGTGTGTAACATTATATTGACAATATCGAAATGAGAAAATTAAGAGAGAGTGAGGTGTTGTTATCGTAACTCATATATTCAATGAAATGTTAATTTCTTCTTTTGATTCATCTTTTCAAATTGTCTTTGGTAAATACTTGGTTTCATTTCTATCCTTGAAATTTCCGATATAAAATATGCCAATGTACATTCTTTTTTTTAATGAAATTGATTACTTCATTTTAAAAACATTTACATTTTTAAAACGTCGTAAATATTTGTAAAACCTTTTCCAAGCAATGGCATCGATATGAATCTCAATGAGCCGTAGTTGTGATGAAAGAAACTATAAAAAAATTAATAGAAGAGGAAAAAAACTAAGAAGCACGCAATTTTTTGTTTTTAACTTATTTGTACATCGACCTCCTTGAGTCAAATACGTCCAATTTTGAGAGTTTTGTAGAGCTTACACTACGCTGCAGCACAGTAAAAACCCAAAACATAAAAGAATAAATTTGAATGCTTTGGAAATCATTTTTGACACGGCACCACTGTTATATTTACAAAAAACACATTCTATTTTCCAGTAGTGCATATTTCTTTTTCATCAGTTTAAAAGGGAATAATCAATGCAGAGAGTGCAAACATTCCAAAATCATGAGTTGAAAAACGCTGACTCCGCGAGTTTAAATATTAGAGCCTAACACAGAGCGGAGCGGCGTGTTAGCAGCGCAAAACGCGCACTGGCGCCTACAAACCTAACGGGATACTTCACGCATTGCGCAACGCGTGAAGTATCCCGTTAGGTTTGTGGGCGCCTATGCACGTGTCACGTTGGTTGCCTGCCGCGCCGCAACGCTCTAAGCAACTATTTCGCTTCAGAGGCGTTGCACAGTATCCTACAAGATTGAAGGCGAACGAAATAACTAGTTAAAGAGGACTTTCACTTTTAACTGCATCTGTTACTGAAAAATGTTTAATTTGTCATTGGAGCGTTTCCTAGGCCCCCGCTTTGGTTTTCATCTTATCATATCCGTACAGTGTACACATGAACATATGTTTTTATCTGCTCTTAGAGTCTGTTCTCTTTCATGACTTGATTCGTGAATGAAATGTTTTTAAGAATGAAGGTCATTTATTTTTGAGGTGGTTCGGGTCATTTAAATGAGAAGAAAAAAATGTGGACATAACATGTCCACAATTTGGACAATTTTGGACATATTCATGGTTGGACATTAAATCATGTGAACTTAATAAAGACTGGATTTAACGTTTAGTGGACATAAATAGCGGTGGGCATTTATTTAATAGACGAAAGGTAAAACAAAAGGTAAAGGTAGGACATAAAGTCCTCGAAAATGTTTGTGGAATTCTTAATATATCTCAAATATTTTTTGTGAAATTCTGGATGAGAAACATGTATCAGAATGCTTAAATTCGTACCTTGTCTAGTGGTCCATCATAATCTTTGAATACGCCCCACAATTTAAGACTTCGGCCGTGAGTCTCCTGGAAGGAAAATGCGTAGAAAAACGAGAAAAACTCAAGAAAATACATCAACTCAATGATCAGCGGAATTGAAAAGACGTAATCCTGTGGGTGGGATAAGCATTGTTGCCAATGGAAGAAGAGACACCATTTGATCATTATCCTCGTTAAGAAGTTCCATACCCTGTAACCGAATATCTACACGAGATGTAGCAATGCTGTGGATGGTAGGAGGAACACTTTCCCTGCTTTGAAATGCTTGAGATCAGAAAGACGGGTTCTTCCACGTCTTTTAAAATTGGGGTTTCGCATTAAAAAGTTGGCGCTGCAAGAATTTGATACCATCAAACGAGAGGAGCTCCCGACACGTCATCTCGAGATTGCCGCTCATTGCAATTATTTTAAATCCCGCCTCGATTCGTCGTTCGAGCGAAAAATAGCAGAGGTTATGACTCTCAGGGCCGTATTCATGGTCTCTCTTTACACTGAAAAAAAAAATCTCGGTGTATTTACCAAGAAAAGGGTAAAATTACCAAGAATTCAGGGTTCTGTTATTAAATGTCTGAATTCTAGAACTGGTGATAATATATTTTCTGGGATTCAAATGTAAAGAGGAGTGTAGTGACCATTCACATTCTGTTTCATCAGTTCGTGTCAGACCCTACTGCTCAAAGTCATTAGTTTAATCTGTAGAGCAAAATCCAGTCATCACATTTACACTGAAATAAAAGTTACGGGCTAAATAGACATATCGTTCGTTCCGGGCTCAAAGGCCGAAACTTCCGAGTGCTGGAGCCGTAGCTTCGATTGCTCCGGGTGCTACGCCCGGAACTTTCGACCTGTGAGCCCGAAACGCGGACGGCATGTCTATATAGCCCTTAAGCACGGCTTCCACGGCCGAAGTTTTTTTTTCGGTATAAGAAACTTCGAAACATCGAAGTTCCAAGCGTCATTGTCTTAATCACGCTGAAAAAAAACTCCGGCCGTGGGAGCCGCAATTACGAGCTATATAGACCAACTGTCCGTTCCGGGCTCAAAGGCCGAAACTTCCGAGTGCTGGAGCCGTAGCTTCGATTGCTCCGGGTTCAGAGGCCGACAGCAGCCGGAATTTTCGGCCTTTGAGCCCGGAGCGGACGGTATGTCTATATAGCCCGTAATTGCGGCTCCCACGGCCGGAGTTTTTTTTCAGTGCACGTATACGTATATCACCCCATCCAATCTCGTTTTTCACGGAAAAGAGCGGAGTAATTCCAATTTGGCAACCACCTGCGGTAAGTAAAAAACCCCTCCTCCGCCGATATCCGTATGCAGACTCATTGATTTCATTCCATAGATTTACATGACATACCTACCTTTCGTGATGATTATGCAAATTCCAAGCGGATACGCGTCTTCCGATAAAAGAAAGGTGCATGAAATTTACTTCGAGGGTGTTATCTCCGGCTGTTTAAATCGAGCGAGCGCCGGGGAAATCTCCAGAGAGGCAAAAAATGCTCGCGTAAAAACCTCTCAAAAAGTGACGGTGGGCGGAGAGGGTGACGTGAAAGTATTCCTCACTTCTCACTCCTTTGTCTTACTCAATTTCTGTTCCAGTGAGAGGCAGCGCCGACAGTCCCCGGCAAAGGACCGCCCTCTGCGTCTCGCTCGCCTTGGCTTGGCTCATCCTCAAACTAACTCATATCAGTTGTTTGTAATTAGTTTACTATTGATCCGCTGTAAATAAATATCATTTGTTTATTTCTTTAAACGTGCCTTTATTATTTCGCACCTCCACACACCGGATCAAATCCAAAGGAGGATTCGGACAACATCTGGAAACTTTGAAAGCTTATATTCCTGAATATATGAGACAAAAAAGTTTAAGAGTGGCTGCATTGTTTTTTGTCGTGAAATTTCCTCTCAGAAACACCCCCAAAAATTGTATTCATGACGAAATAAACATGAAAATTTGAAATTTTAGCCCGAAATGTCATGGATGCATGTAAAAAAGATGGAACAAGATGTGGTTGAAGATGCTCTATAATTTTGTAACGTTTTACACTAGCCGTTTGCTATTGAACGTTTCCGAGCAATTCTTTGCCGCAACAACTGTTAAAGGACTTGATATCAGTTATCCTGAAAAAAATTACACAATGTTTATAAAAAAAAGAAAGAAAGAAAGAAAAAAAAAAAAAAAAAAAAAAAAAAAAAAAAAAAAAAAAAAACAAGATAGAAGACTCCAAATACTTTTGATCAACCCTGGCCTGGTTGCGGCAATTACTTCTGGATGATTTAAAATCGAACTGCATTGAAGAAAATGGAACAAAGTCACATCAACGACTGCGAAGCAGAGCAATTTATATTATTTTACAGGAGATCGGTTGTGCGAAATCATTTGAAAATTTTAGAAAATTTGATTCACGTCGCAGAGGAAACTCCCTTTGATTTTTAAAAGAATCTGCACCGCCGTTCTCCCGTAAAAAATAAATAATTTATTGAAATTTGGCGATGGGTGATGCGGCTTAATTCATTTCTGCTTAATGCAGCCCAATTAATGAGTGATTTGACGCTGCTGTGGTGATTAGTTTCCCGGAGACTCCAGTGGAGAGTGACCGCACGGCGCTCCCTTCAATTCTGTAAACCATCCCTCTCTCGTGATTATCTGAACTCCTCGATAAAAATAGGTGTATTTTTCAACACTTATGGGAAGGAGTGAGGGCAAATATATCAGCAAAGAGTTACAAATCATGCAAAGGGACCTTTTTACTTCCCTCATATTGTGCCTCCATGGTATTGGAGGACGTATGGACGTATGGACACTTTACACGAAACTATGACGTGGGGTACTTGCATGTTTATGAGGAGCTTTGAACATTTCAACGTGTAATAATTAGTCCAGGATCCAGTGGAGCAAAACAGCTGCCCATTTAATTGTATACTTCCGTACATTTTTATAGGTTAACGCATATTAGTATATACGGCATATAAACATATCATTTGGAGCGGTATAATCCGTGCAGCCGTGGAAAAAAGGACCCTCAAAGACCACGCTTTGGCCGTATTATTTCTTGTTTCTGTCTCCAATATTCATTGGAACTTGAAACAGGACGCCGCGCGCACTTGTTTGAGAATCAAAAATTCAGAGCGCCTTCATTTTATCGTGCATGCAACACCAACATTCATCGAATTAAAATTATTGCATTTAAGCTTCAATGGACCACTACCACCAGATAGGGTACGAAATTAAGCTCCATATGATATGTTTTCTTGTCGAAATTATGTTTTGAATGTGCGATGGAAATAATCAGGACTTGTAAATTTAACTGACAACTGGAAAAAAACATTTTTTGCCTCTATCTTGCCCAAGGCGTCCAATCGACATTTAGAACATCAGAAATCAACCTAAAGTAGATGAATGCTCAAAATTTGTGGATTAATGCCACCCATTTACTCGATCCTACTTCCGCTGACAAAGCGTGTAAACATGTTCCAGTGAATCATAAATCTTCGTACATTCATGCATATGATGTTAATTTTTTTTCTCGACAAAAAATTCTTAACTTTGCTTCATTTTGCAACGCTGGGAAAATGGTGAATGATGCGTCATTTTCTGATAACTGAGAATGAAAAGTGCATTCTGCAAGTTTCGGCTCGGTCGAGGAGCAGCTCATCTACCAACTCCGCGTCAAACTCTAAATGATTTAGTCGCAGTTTACCGCGAATTTTATCTCCGCTCCATTTTTTTTCTTTTTCTTTTTATATTCCATTCGCATGAATCATGAAAACTTATTATTCTGTCTATAGGTTGAGGTAAGTGTTTTTCTAGGTTGGCAAGATTACGTTAGCATTTCCTCGTTTATAGAGGAAAAACTATGAAATTTGTTGTACGATAATAGGCAATCTGAAGGAATAAATAAGTGCATTTTAATTATAACCCGTTTACTTTGGGATATAGAACTCATCTTTTCACTGAAAAAAATAGATCACTTGAATTTCCCGTCAATAATTTTCCTCCTGAGTCAAGCATGAAAATGAGTTGAGCTTGCGCTTCAAATTCTGGTTATTGGATGCCTAGATCCTAGTTTTATCGACAAGGAGTTTAAAATGAACAAAAAAAAATAAGTTGAATAAGAGGAGAATTCACAACGTTGTAGTTAAAAGTATTTTCTTACATATGGATGTGAAGTTTGGCAGTTGAAGAAACATATTCAGGGTATGGTAACAGAGTTGGACTGGCCATAAGGCCAATCTGCCATTAGAAGATACGCCCTCCTCCCCCTCCCCCTCCCCCGACGCGTCGAAGACGCAACCCTCTGCCAGATGTAGCAAAATAAGATGAGAGAAAAAATTAAGACCGAGAAAAAATAGGGGAAATTCATAAATGAACGGGAGAAGAAAAAGTAAGAGTAAAGAAAGGTCCTTGCACGCATGATAGTGGTGAGTGAAGGTGCTGGAACTATAAACCGGAAATAAGTCCCCAGTGGCGCCTGGGTCTACAAAAATGCTAGAAGATTAATGTTTTGGTTTTTTTTTTTTTTATTTGCTAAATTCAGATTTTGTATCCGTAGCTCAATATTTTGAAGAGGAGAATGTGAAAAATTGGGACTTACTGGTTTAATCAAGCTTTAATGGATGACAATCATTTTACTCACAAGGAGACATTCGATTAAATAAAGTGCAAACTTACGCTATTACGCTTTTAGCTTTCGCTATTCCGCGAAAAATTGGTCCTTCTCCGTCGTAAAATTAGCTTTGAGGCATTGAAAATGTGTCTCAATTTTTTGAAAAGGGATGATGGGCATCAGGAAATGAGGAAATCAAAATAGCTCTCGAACTTTTGTCAAGTGTCAAAGTACCCACACATAAAATCTCCAAGATCGGCGCAAAATTCTTTTCTCTGACTTTTTCACCTTCTTGGTAACATAAACACACTTTATCACCCCTCCCCCTCCCTCATCTGCAATGTGTCACTCTCTCAGAGGAAGGAGTATAGTCAATTTTTAGACGTGCGCTCTTTTGATCGTTTGAGGGACCTCTGAAATTTTTTCTCTTTTCAAAATGATAATCGATTAGGGCGCATCCCATCTTCGCTCTCTTGCTGATGGAGCCCTTGAAGCACCTATACAAATGAGACAAACGAAACTAACACAATATGGAATTAGAGCAAATGGAGGGACGGGCTTTGACGACGGCGCAGAGCTACAACTATTCGTGCTTGCGGGATGTCTTTGTTGCATCTGCAAAATTGAAGGCGCGATGGCGCGAGCTGTAAATTCGCGATGTTCCGCAGTTCCGCTTTATGATCCCAATGAGGTATTGTGAGAAAAGTTACGAAACGAGGCTCGACTAATACAGCTCCCCTATCGACGGCTGTGTTGCTCATACACCCTTGAAAACACCACTACAAATACGAATTAAACAAACTGAAACAAACACAGTATGGAAATAGAGCAAAGCAAAAGGAGGCGCGTTGATGACGGCGCGACGCAGAGATACAACTATTCGCACATGATGGATGCCCGCATTGAATCTGCGAAATTGAAGGCTTGATGGCGCTACGTGTGAACTCAGTATGCTCCTTTCTATGCTACCGGTGAGGTGTTGCTCAGATTCGGGAGACAAATTTAAAAAGCTAGGCCCGATTACGTCTCGAGTCTGTTGTTCCTTAATTTTTTCTTCTTTTTTTCAATTTGAAGGTTGATTCTTTTTTTTTATGTACTTTCAGACCCACATCTACCGGTCCCTTACAACTCGCGTGGCACGTTTTTTAACACGTCTCTAGGACACCCTGTATACATAGGTTCATGAAAATTTGAAAAAACCTCTAAAGTGAAGGCAAGAGTCAAAGATTTTCTGAGCCGTCTGCCACTTCATCTGCGGCAAAATACAATGCTCGCAAGAGCGAGGGGCACAAATCACTTGTAAATTAAGGGTTTTAATGTGAAGCGCCTAATTGTCTCAGACCTCCATTTCTCTCATTTTCCCTCTCTCACGCCGCCAGCCAGCCGGAATTCTGTCATCTTCAAGGAGTACAATTGCGGCAGTAATTTTATTCCCGCCTCTCGCGAATTCGGGAGTCAATCCTCGTTTCCGCTTACTTAACTCCCGGAGTTGCGAAGTTGATTTCAATCTTTGAACACTTCCTTTAATGATAAGTGCTGCCTTTAAAGACAATATATCTCAAATAGTGAAATCAGGCACTTTGTCAAATGCCTAGGCAGATGGTTAAATTTTGACGGTCTACAAAATTGTGTGAACTTATGGCGAAGAGCTCACGAGTTTTCAATATTTTTTGGAAAAATAACTTATCAAACCAACGAACTCTTTTTGCCTCTCTCTCTTCAATTTCTTCTCATATTTTTGATGTTGAAATTCAAAAAATTCTGTATTTTATGACATGCTGAAAATTTCGAGATGAGTGTCTGTTCAGGAGCTGCAAATCGTTAAAAATACTTTTGAGTGATGCAAATTTTTACTAAAATGTTTTCTTTACAGGAGCAATTAATTATTTTGTCTAAAATGAGGAAAAGAATCAGAATATCAATCTCAGTTAGAATGTTTGACTATTTACCTAGGCATTTGACAAAATGCCTGATTTCAACATTTGCCTGCGACATATCGATTACAGAAACATAAAATCACGTATCTCCATTGCCATGTTTACAAATTTCTGCGTCTGTTTTATTCTTTCGGATACACTGAAAAAAAGTTACGGGTTACAAGACCTACCGTCCGTTCCGGGCTCAGAGGCCGAAAGTTCCGGGTGCC